AACCGTGAGGACAGTGTATTTCATTCTGTTACACAGAAGTTCACTATCAGTCAGAATGGAATACATGGCACTTGACAACAACATTGATAGAATTACCATGTGCCCCATGGTGATGATTTATAATGGTCTTCAATAAAATGATAATGATTTCTCTAAAATGAATCGGAGACATATATAAACCATAAGTATATGAAGAAATTTTGAGCATACACTTAATTCTAGCCCTGACATAAGAAAAAAATAGTTCTTATGACATGACCCTACTCTGTACTCACTCTCATGATGAGATCACTGAAGTGGTATGACATGACCCTACTCTGTACTTACTCTCATGACGAGATCACTGAAGTGGTATAGCAAAGCATGATGAAGAAATCAGATGGTGCCCGGCTATCAAAAAGAACAGTGTCTGGGAACTTCAAGGCTTGTCTTAAAACAAGCAGTCATATAAGTGAGGCATCAACTAAGTCCTCATGGAAGAAACACATCAACTTGTGTGATTCAAGGATTGTAAATAATAAAACCCAAATCCGAAGGAGGAAATGGCATTAAAGCTTAACTTTTGAACACCTGGTTTGCAGAAGTCTATGGATGAGAGTGGAAGCCCCAAATCCATTTGCAGTGCCCTCACATGGATTACGCCTCTAGTGAGTCCCCTCTGACCATAGTCCAGAGATGTGAATAGCCTTGCTATCAGACAGCATTGTAAAGTGGATTTTGGCAACTATGGTTATGTTAAAAGGTCACCTTATCTTTTGAACTCCCTTTTGACCCACTTTAAAGTTGTTCCAGTTTTTAATATTGTTTGATTTCTTTTCAAGTTTATCATGGTGTTTTTTTTGTTTTTGTTTGCTTCTTGTTTGTATTTTATAGGATTTTCTGTATATGAAATCCAGGTTAGGTAAATCTACAGAGACAGCAACTGTATTAATAATTACATACCATACAAGCATGGCAGGGAAGGTTGATGGAAAATGGGTAATTAAAAACAATGAATAGGAGAAAGCAGAAAATGTTCTGAATTGATTGTGGTGATGATTACACAACTCTTCTTTATATGATTGAACTATTAAATTGTATGATGTGTGAATTATATGCTAATTAAACTATTTAAAAATGAACAGTGGACTGGATAAATAGAGTAAAAAAGTTTTAACTTTGCTTTTAAAAATTCCCCTGCATTCAAAGAAGCAAGAAAAAAAGCATTGATTAAAAAGTGAGAAAAATCTATCAATACCAATCAAGCATTGGGCCTCCACTCAACTACTCCCTCAATGCAAGAATACTTTCCTCTATTAAATTGGCATTCTATGATGCTCACCTTCCCGACACAACCGCTGAAGACAAA